AAAGCTGGTCCCTTGGCCAGGCGTGGTGGCTCACACCTGTAATCCCAGCACTTTGGGAGGCCAAGGCAGGTGGATCATGAGGTCAGGAGTTCAAGACTAGCCTAGCCAACATGGTGAAACCCCATCTCTACTAAAAATACAAAAATTAGCCAGGAGTGATGGCAGGTGCTTATAGTCCCAGCTACTTGGGAGGCTGAAGCAGGAGAATTGCTTGAACCCAAGAGGCAGAGGTTGCAGTGAGCCAAGATCTCGCCACTGCACTCCAGCCTGGGTGACAGAGCAAGACTCCATCTCAAAAAAAAAAAAACACGGTGGTCCCAACTATGACTGGGTACAAGCCTCCGCCCTCCGTCATTCTCACACATGCACACACACGCACATACACACACACATGCACACATGGATATTTATATATACATTTGAAACATGGATGGATGTATACATGCATATGTGTACCAGTGTATCGATGTCTGTATTCACCGTGTTTGTGGTGAACGTAAGTGCGTGCTACGTGTACCAGTGTATCGATGTTTATACTCACTGTGTGTGTGGTAAGCGCAAGTGTGTGCAGGATGGCGTAAGGCAGTGCTGCATCAACACTCATCTGTTTCCATTCATTTCACTCATCATTTCACAAATATGAAGACAATGGATGAAAATTCTTTCATGAATGAACAAACAAAGTAAAGGCCACATAAGCGAAGTTAAAACACAAGATACAGACTGGGAAGAAGTCATCGTGCAATGTGTTCAATAAAGGATTAGTAACCATCTTATATAAAGAGCTGCTCCCAATCTACAACCCCAAAACACCAGGTAACAGGAACCTGGGAAAACGATATAGAAAAGTAAACATAAATGGCCAAGCAACTTCTCTGGCAATTCACACACATTACCCTTGTCGTTGAGGAAAATGGTTATTCAATTTGTTTTAAAGGACAGGAAAGGAGTCAGGCCAACACCCATGTTTTTTTTTTTTTTTTTTTTTGAGACGGAGTCTCGCTCTGTCCCCCAGGCTGGAGTGCAGTGGCGCGATCTCAGCTCACTGCAAGCTCCGCCTCCCGGGTTCCTGCCATTCTCCTGCCTCAGCCTCCCGAGTAGCTGGGACTACAGGCGTCCGCCACCTCGCCCGGCTAGGTTTTTGTATTTTTTAGTAGAGACGGGGTTTCACCGGGTTAGCCAGGATGGTCTCGATCTCCTGACCTCGTGATCCGCCCGTCTCGGCCTCCCAAAGTGCTGGGATTACAGGCTTGAGCCACCGCGCCCAGCTCAACACCCATTTTAAAGCTGCCTTTGTTCCTTAGCGTGGCTCTCTGGCCCCTGCACTGCACCCTGATTTTCTCTTCTACACCTTCTTTTCCTGCTAGAAAACCCTCTCAGATAACACCCTCTGCTTCCAGACCACACGTCCCTGTGATTTCTGCTTCTCTTTCCTGGGGGAGAGCTTCCCTCTGCCCGCTCTAGGCAGAGGTATAAGGTGTCCCCTGGGATTTGGACAGGACATCAGGAGGCGCCTAGCCTGAGGCACCTACTTACTGGCCAAGTGAAGGAGGCGGTTATAGTCTGACGCATGTGGCTTGGGTTTCGGCATGGGGTCCCACTCTTCCAACAGGGTGGCTGGGGCCTTTGGCTTTGACAACTGGAGGATCCGTGAGCTGGGGACTGCCGTTTGGGCTGCCCTGGATACCTGGGACACCTGGAAAAAGAAATAGAAGTATTACATAAAATAGTCCATGATTCCTCCTGGGCCCTGGAGCAAAAGGACCCCAGGAGCAACACTAAAAGACACAAAACAGCCTAGGAAAAAGTTGGTTTTTAATGTATTCATCAAAGGATTAGTAACCATCATGTATAAAGAGCTCCTTCAAATCAATAACCAAAAAAAACCCAAAAGGGCTGAGCAAATGATACAGGAGATGAACCCTACATGGTCAATAATCCTGTCTTTTGATCAATGTAACGTCAACAATTGTTGACAAATGTAAATTAAAACAACAAAATATCACTTCATGCTCACAAATTTGGCAACAATGAAAAAGTCTGACATTATCAAGCCCTGGTGAGAGACTCTCACGCATTACTGGAGAGAGAGTAAATTAGTACAGGCAGCTCAGGGAGCAATTCGTCTACTAGGTTCAGCCGAACATGCACAGGCTTGGTGACTGCCACATACAGGGACTCCTGCACCTGACCCGAAGAAGTGGTTGCAGGGATGTCCCCTGCAACTTAGTTACCACGCACACACCCCAGAAAGAGCCTGGCACCCGACCGCTGGGGGCTGCACAAGCTGACTGCAGCATGTTCTCAAGAGAAGGCAACCCAGCAGTTAGACCATTTTTTCTCCATAAATCGGCACGCATTGCTCTAGAAAACAGTAATGAGGGAAGGCAAGACAGAAGTCATTTATGTTCACGAAATCACGAAACACGACCTAGGGGATTGGGTGGGCAGTGGGGCAGCACTGGCCGAGGTAGGAGACCTTGCAGACGTTTCACCCAGAAACCTGGCACACTCGCTCCGCAAATCAAAATTCTCAACAGGCCGGGCGCGGTGGCTCAAGCCTGTAATCCCAGCACTTTGGGAGGCTGAGGCGGGTGGATCACGAGGTCAGGAGATCGAGACCATCCTGGCTAACAT